AAAAAAAAAAAAAAAAAAGAAGAAGAAGAATCCTTAGAATAGTAGATTCCTGCAGTCCTAAAGTGAGTGCTTTATAAACAACAGTAGGAGTGGGAGATATTGTTGTGAAGGTAATGATAATGATGACCTTCATGTTAATAATGATACTTTGTTACTCTCTTGGGGAAATTAAAAAATCCATGAAGACGCAGCCAGTGCCAGGTATGTTCTCCACTCACAATGAGATCAGTAGGCAAAAAAGCCAACCAGTAGAGGAAGGGATGTGTCAAAAGCTCATCTCCGCCATGAGAGCTATGCATGGGAAGATGTGGCCCATAATCTAGCCTAAGACTTGTCATCATGGGAGGTTATAAAAGTCGCTGCTTTACAGTTGTATCCACTGACTGCTAAAAGTGAGAGAAATACATAGCCAGGAAGCCCTTGGAATATGGAAGACAGAAAAGCAGTGACTTGCTACATTCTCTTGGTGGTTATCCGTTCTTATGCATACAAGACTGATTTTAGGATAAAAGGTGACATTGAAATATCAAACATTAGTAATTACGAAGGTTCACCCAACCCTCTGTGACATGTTTTCTCTGCAGAAAATTGGGTTTAATGCTACAAAATTAGATTCAATCCACTCATAAACACGTGAAGTGAGCAATCTTCTTGTATTTCTTGATATGTGTATTTTCATAAGTTATCAGATGAGTCATGGTGAGTACGACAGTTTTATTCCATGCAGCATTTTGTCTCATACTGTCACTGCATTGGCTCTGCAGACTTTATGTAAAATACATTTTGTGAACTTATATTCCTCAAAAGTCACTTATGCTTCTTTAACCCAAACTAGTCTATCAGAATGCATTATTTGACATTAGTTTGACAGGGTTTCCTCTTTAGGTATCCACAACCACTCTCCAGTCTCCAAATGGGCTGTGCTTTTATTTATTTGTTTCATTTTTGCTGCCACAATTTTGCCCATTCTGTTCTGTCTGCTTAATAGATGCTGCATCTGGATATTTTCCGGGTCAGTTCATCTGAACAGGTCACTCAGGATAGCAAAACTCCTTCCATTGGACCAACGGCTTCCTATATTGTAGCCCCCAACCCCAGTGGAATCTCTGTTATATCTGTTGTGACATTATTTTGTGTTTACTTGCTCCATCTGTCTGTTCAGCTGCGATGTGAACTTCTTGAAGGCAGGAAGATATTCTAGTCATTTTTTCTTCTTTTGCATCTCCAGCATTTAGACTTATGACTGACACATAGTCACCACCAATAAATGTCAATCGATTGCACAGATAAGTGATGCTATTTCTTATTTTTTTCTAACACCATAATTTTACTGAAAGATTTATGCAATCCCTTTCCTATATGAACAGTGCTAAATATAAGTACCTCATACAATTACTAGTATTGCTGTTTCAATAATAGTATCAAATACGTATTATTCCTTTGAGGATTTGACATTTAAATTTTTTTTAAACAAAACCTATTATTGTAAGAGAATGCTCTTTTTCTGGTTCACTTTAATACTAACATATGACATATTTCATTTCTGGGAAATGATAGCTTGCCTTAGGTCATATTTTAAGGCAAAAAGCCAGAAGCAGAGTAACATTCCCACCTGAAGTTCTCTAATCATCTAGAAATGCACCTCTGTCTGGGAGAAGGGCCAGATTACAACCACCCCGAAGCCTTCATCTTCAAAGGCAAATTTTTAAAATCTAAATTGGCCCCAAAGTGTTATGAATTCTTCCATCAACACACAAGTTGTCT